TCAGCAACTTATATTTTAACAAGAAAATGTCCTTAACACTTATAGAGAATATAATATCTATATAGATATCGACATACATATTTATATGCATATCTACATACATATCTACATACATATCTATATACATGTCTACATACATATCTATATACATATGTACATACATATCTAAATACATATCAATAACATATCTACATACATATCTACAAACATATGTATATATATATATATATATATATCTATACATATCTATATACATATCTACATACATATCTATATACATATCTATATACATATCTATATACATATCCATATACATATCTATATACATATGTACACACATCTATATACATATTTACATACATATCTACATACAAACCTATAAACATATCTATATACATATCTACATACATATCTACATACATATCAATATATATATATATATATATATATATATATATATATATATATATATATATATATATATACACACACACATATCTATATACATATCTATATACATATCTATATACATATGTACACATATCTATATACATATTTACATACATATCTACATACAAACCTATAAAACATAACTATATATATCTACATACATATCTACATACATATCTACATACATATCAATATATATATATATATATATATATATATATATATATATATATACATACATACATATCTATATACATACATATCTTATATACATATCTACATACATATTTCCATACATATCTATCTATCTATCTATACATATATATATATATATATCTACATACATATCTACATACATATCCATATACATATCTACATACATATCCATATACATATCTATATACATATGTAAATACATATCTAAATACATATCTATATACATATCTATAAACATATCTACATACATATCTATATACATATGTACATACATATCTAAATACATATCAATAACATATCTACATACATATCTACAAACATATGTATATATATATATATATATATATATATATCTACATACATATCTATATACATATATATACATATCTACATACATATCTATATACATATCTATATACATATCTATATACATATCCATATACATATCTATATACATATGTACACATATATATATACATATTTACATACATATCTACATACAAACCTATAAACATATCTATATACATATCTACATACATATCTACATACATATCATATATATATATATATATATATATATATATATATATATATATACATACATATCTATATACATATCTATATACATATCTATATACATATGTACACACATATCTATATACATATTTACATACATATCTACAAACCTATAAACATATCTATATACATATCTACATACATATCTACATACATATCTACATACATATCAATATATATATATATATATATATATATACATACATATCTATATACATATCTATATACATACATATCTTATATACATATCTACATACATATTTCCATACATATCTATCTATCTATCTATCTATACATATATATATATATATCTACTTACATATCTACATACATATCCATATACATATCTACATACATATCCATATACATATCTATATACATATGTAAATACATATCTAAATACATATCTATATACATATCTATAAACATATCTACATACATATCTATATACATATCTATATACATATCGACATGTATATATATATATATATACATATATATCTATATACATATCTACATACATATCCACATATCTATATACATATCTACATATATATCTACCTACATATCTATATACATATCAACATATATATCTATATACATATCTACATACATATCTACCTACATAGCCTTATACATATCAACATACATACCTATATACATATCTATATACATATCTATCTATCTATCTATCAATCTATATATATATATATATATATATATATATATCATATATACATATACATATATATATATCTACGTACATATCCATATACATATCTATCTATATATATATGTACATACATATCTAAATACATGTCTATATACATATATATCTATATACATATCTACATACATATATCTACATACATATCTACATACTTATCTATATGCATATCTATCTACATACACACATCTATCTATCTATCTATCTATTTATATATATATATATATATATATATATATATATCTACATATCTCTATAACATATCTATATACATATCTACATACATATCTAAATAGATATATATATATACATATCTATAAACATATCTACATACATATCTACATACATATCTATATACATATGTACATACATATATATACATATTTACATACATATCTACATACATACCTATAAACATATCTATTAATATACCTACACACATATCTACATACATATCTATATATATATATATATCCATACATATCTACATAAATATCTATATACATATCTACATACATATCTCCATACATATCTATCTTTTCTATCTATCTATCTATCTATATATATATATTATATATATATATATATCTACATATATCTACATACATATCCAAATACATATCTACATACATATCCATATACATATTCATATATATATCTATATACATATATACATACATTCTAAATACATATCTATATACATATCTATAAACATAGCTACATACATATTCACATATATATCTATATATATATATCATACATATCTATAAACATATCTACATACATATCTATATACATATCTATCTAGATACTTATCTATCTATCTATATATATATATATATATATATCTACATACATATCTATATACATATCTATATACATATCCATATACATATCTAACATATGTACATACATATCTATATACATATTTACATACATATCTACATACATACCTATAAACATATCTCTAACCATACCTACATACATATCTACATACATATATATATATATATATATATATATATATCCATACATATCTACATAAATATCTATATACATATCTACATCCATATCTATGTACATTTCTATATAAATATCTACATACATATCTATAATTATATATATCAACATACATATCTATATACATATCTATATACATATCTACATACATATCTATATACATATCTCCATATATATTTATATACATATCTACATACATATCTATATACATATCTATATAAATATCGATTTCATTACTTTACCCGGTTAAAAAAAATAGTTGCACTATACATCCAAATATTTTGCGTTATAAGTAAATATTAAGCTGGACTGGGAAAGAAATTTGTTATATACCGGACCTATGAACAATAATGGGTATGTCTCAGTCCTCATAAATATGTTGGACAATATTGGAAGCAGATAGTAGTCTGCTGTCTAAGTAGTCCACCACTTGTAGTGGTTTACCTACTTCACGCCGCTGGCGAGTATTGTATTTTGTTGATGTTATAAAGATTACCATTTCATTTCCAGCCTCAGTTTTGGTTATTCCTCATTCACTAACCCTTTCAAGGTTGCAACAAAGTGGCAGACATCTTTTTTTTTCAAATTCTAACGCTTTGATATTGAAACAACAAAAAAAGCAACCCGGAATGACAAATAATCTGGGGACACATCAACTGAAATATAAAGACCAAAAAGAAAAGGTTATTAGTCTGATTTATTAAATAATATAATAAGAACAACGTGAAAGAAGATTCCGAAGTAGACAAACAGTGCTTAGAGCTACAAGAGAGAGGAAATTGTGGAGAGCCATTAACAACCACTGACTGTAGGAAATGGTCTCTTAAAAGAAAACATATTCTATTAAAAATGACTTTATTGAAAAATGAATACGCTAAAATGTTTGGGAAGGCTACATCCAAACGACTAATTCTGTTCGAAGTACGGCAGAGGAGAAAAAATAACAGAATAAATGTCTATTGATCAGAGAATATTGAAAGTAATCGGCTACACACGAATGTATGGTGGTTTTCTTGCGTTCTGACAGCAGACGACAACATGGCGGCGCCAAAGAAAATTTAAGAGCTTTACTAGTGTTAAACAACGCGGTAAATCTGGAATAGTCGGGTCGTGAAATACGCTGAAAACTCAGAAAGCTGATTTGATTGGAAGAACTAACGATTGATTTGCTGAAAGTTTCGTACGTATCTTTGGATATCATTTTCCTCTCGAGGTTTACGCCCAAGTTCGTTCGAAGTGAGACAATTCAGGCCTATCACGAGCTGATGCCCACCTCGCTTTTGAAGATAAAGACCAAATCTGACAGTGAGCCAAAAAAAATAACAATATGGAGTATCAAAGACAAAGTTTACGAGATAAATAAATGAAAGCATGAAGGAAAATCAAGCAGTAGTGGAATAGGCTTTTGGCTTTTACTGCTTTATTTTCGGACGGCCCACTTATCAGCGTCTTCTGTGAATCTTCCACATGCGTATATCGCTCAGATGACGTCTTCCTCTTCACAGCCTTTTCTCCTCTTTATAACCTTGGAATGTTTGTCCCCTTACAATCACTCCCTGTTCGTGGTCTGCCATTCATTTACACAAACTTGTTCGATGTATTACTCGTTTTTTTTTTTTTACCCTTTTCGATCTCTGCTTTTAGTAAGTACTGTGAGTATTAATATCTATAAGCTGTCTTTCTCTGATACTAAATAAAAATGCCCTTCTTGGTCCCATTTTTCTTAAAACTTTCACTTTTCTCATATGCTCCGCTCCATGATCCCGTCCTGGGTATAACGATAAACTACATCCGGCAGCAAGGCCTCTGATCAGGGGGTTTTTAGAAGCGGGGAACAATCTATTAATTGCTGTTGTTACCACGCCCATCCGGACCCAGGGTGGTAGCATATTTTAGGGCCCCAGCTAAGTGCAAATAGCTAACACCTAAACTGAGACCAAACACTTTGAAAGTATAAAGGATTTTTATACTGAAAATACTAGCAATATATTTCATAGTAATAAAAATTTACCAGCAATAGATAGATTGAACTGACTGGGATAGATAGATAGATAGATAGATAGATAGATAGATAGATAGATAGATAGATAGATAGAATAGAAAGTATAAAGGATTTTTATAGTGAAAATACTAGCAATATATTTTCATAGTAATAAAAATTTATCAGCAATATGTTTCTGTAAGTAAAAAAAAGTACATTGGTGACGAGGGATCACATCTGATACGTGGCAGGAAAAATTCCTGTTTACTTCGGCGGACATGATAACATTTGCGACGAGAAATTAGAACCAAGTTGGTTTAATTTTTTCTTTGTGTATGTAATAAAGGAAAAAAAAAGAGAAAGATGGAAAAACCCAGATATTCTTTAAATACAGAAGAATTATTAGCCGAATTGGTAAAAATACAACAGCAATAACAGCAGTTGTTGGAACTCCAAGAACAACAAAATTTAATTGAAATAATATATTTTTATAATAAAAAAACTACCAGCCATACATTTTTTTTTAAATGAGCAGCAATACATTTTTGTAACAAAAAAAAAACAACGATACATTTTTTTTTTTGTATAAGAAAAGAAATTATCAACAATACATTTTTTGTAAAAGAAATTACTTATACTTCCAAGAAAATTTATTTCGGCTTTAAATGAACCATGAGGAATTGATATGCCGTAAACCAAACCAAACCAAACCGATCCATGGTTAAAAATTCAGGAAGAATAACCGGTGTCTTATACCGTTTCAGTAAGTAACTGACTCTTCCTGATTTGCTTTATCTTTACAAGAACCAGATCAGACCAAAAAAATAGACTACTGTTGCTATATGGCGATGATTTGTCCAGTTCTCACGTTTCGTTCAAAAGCGTCACTCTTACATATCCTCATAAACTGTATGTCTTACGATAAATAAAAAACTATACCTTGAGTCTCCGGTGAATAATCTCTGTATAAAATTCTGTTATTTCCGTTCGTCTGTTCGTCCGCGCGTCACACCCTCACGGGTGGAGAAAAGGGAAGGAAAGGTATAGAGAAGAGAGCAATAGGAGTGAGAGAGAGAGAAAGAGAGAGAGAGAGAGATGAAGAGAGAGGCATGATAAAAAAAAAGAGACAAGGGAGATAATAAGACAGATAGTGAAATAAGGAGGCAGAAGAGAAAGAGAAGAAAGAGAGAGAGGACCAATCGATGAAGAGTGGAAAGATAGAGAGAGGAGAGAAAGGTTTGAGATAGTAAAAGGGGGAGAAATACGGATCGAAGAAAGAAAAAATTGAAATAGAGTGAAATGAGAAAGATAGATAGATAGATAGATAGATAGATAGATATATTGAACAGACTGAGATAGATAGATAGATAGATAGATAGATAGATAGATAGATATATTGAACAGACTGAGATAGATAGATAGATAGATAGATAGATAGATAGATAGATAGATATATTGAACAGACTGAGATAGATAGATAGATAGATGATAGAATAGATAGATAGATAGATATATTGAACAGACTGAGATAGATAGATAGATAGATAGATAGATAGATAGATAGATAGATATATTGAACAGACTGAGATAGATAGATAGATAGATAGATAGATAGATATATTGAACAGACTGAGATAGATAGATATATTGAACAGACTGAGATAGATAGATAGATAGATAGATAGATAGATAGATAGATAGATATATTGATATATTGAACAGACTGATAGATAGATAGATAGATAGATAGATAGATGAATAGATAGATAGATATATTGAACAGACTGAGATAGATAGATAGATAGATAGATAGATAGATAGATAGATATATTGAACAGACTGAGATAGATAGATAGATAGATAGATAGATAGATATATTGAACAGACTGAGATAGATAGATAGATAGATAGATAGATAGATAGATAGATAGATAGATAGATAGATATATTGAACAGACTGAGATAGATAGATAGATAGATAGATAGATATATTGAACAGACTGAGATAGATAGATAGATAGATAGATAGATAGATTGAACAGACTGAGATAGATGAAGATAGATAGATAGATAGATAGATAGATAGATAGATAGATAGATATATTGAACAGACTGAGATAGATAGATAGATAGATAGATAGATAGATAGATAGATAGATAGATAGATAGATAGATAGATAAATAAAAGATAAAAGGGGGAGAAATACGGATCGAAGAAAGAAAAAATTGAAATAGAGTGCAATTATATATATATATATAGAGAGAGATAGATAGATAGATAGATAGATAGATAGATAGATAGATAGATAGATAGATAGATATATTGAACAGACTGAGATAAATAGAAAGATTGAATAGACTGAGATAGATAGATAGATAGATAGATAGATAGATAGATACAGGCAGGCAGAAAGAAAGAAATAAAGAGAGGGAAAGTGTAAAAGAAGGAAAGAGAGAGAGAGAGAGAGTGAGAAGAAAAAGAGATTATTTATTGATCCAGATACTAAATCGAAAAAAAAAACGCTAGTTTGTCCGGAATATTTTATTTATTTTTAATGGGGGTCTACGTCAAAATCGTGGCAAAGTGAAATATGTTTTCTTGTTAACATAAATTATTTATTAAATAGCCGTTTATGCAAAACATTGGCAGGAGTTGCTAAATAAATACGCCAAACCCTTCTACTATAGGAAAGCATTGGAAATTATTTTACTATAAAAATTCATTAGTAATTATTTCTCTGTAAGCATTCGATATAATTTTGCTATTAAAATTCATTGGAAACTATTTACCTGTAAAATAAAATAGACATCATTTTACTGTAAGAAAGCATTCGAAATAATTTTGATATTAAAATTCATTGGAAACTATTTAACTGTAAAATAAAATAGACATCATTTTACTGTAAGAAAGCATTCGAAATAATTTTGATATTAAAATTCATTGGAAACTATTTACCTGTAAAATAAAATAGACATCATTTTACTGTAAGAAAGCATTCGAAATAATTTTGATATTAAAATTCATTGGAAACTATTTACCTGTAAAATAAAATAGACATCATTTTACTGTAAGAAAGCACTCGGAATAATTTTGCTATTAAAATTCATTGGAAACTATTTACCTGTAAAATAAAATAGACATCATTTTACTGTAAGAAAGCATTCGAAATAATTTTGCTATTAAAATTCATTGGAAACTATTTACCTGTAAAATAAAATAGACATCATTTTATTGTAAGAAAGCACTCGAAATAATTTTGCTATTAAAATTCATTGGAAACTATTTACCTGTAAAATAAATTAGACATCATTTTACTGTAAGAAAGCATTCGAAATAATTTTTGCTATTAAAATTCATTGAAACTATTTACCTGTAAAATAAAATAGACATCATTTTATTGTAAGAAAGCACTCAGAAATAATTTTGCTATTAAAATTCATTGGAAACTATTTACCTGTAAAATAAATTAGACATCATTTTACTGTAAGAAAGCATTCGAAATAATTTTGCTATTAAAATTCATTGGAAACTATTTACCTGTAAAATAAAATAGACATCATTTTATTGTAAGAAAGCACTCGAAATAATTTTGCTATTAAAATTCATTGGAAACTATTTACCTGTAAAATAAATTAGACATCATTTTACTGTAAGAAAGCATTCGAAATAATTTTGCTATTAAAATTCATTGGAAACTATTTACCTGTAAAATAAAATAGACATCATTTTACTGTAAGAAAGCTTTTGAAATATTTTGGCATGAGAAATCATTGGAAATCATTGGAAATCATTTTACTGTAACAGTAAACTGGACAATATTGTACGATGAGAAAGCACTATATATCACTCTCCTATTAACAAAGCATTGGAAATTATTTTCTATAAAAACCCATTAGTAATTATTTCTCTGTAAGAATAAATTGGACATCATTTTGAATATAAGAAAGCATTGGAAATTGTTTTATTCTAAGAATTTATTGGAAAGAATTCACTCCTATTATAGCGCAGTATACGTATATCTGTCCAGCTGTCTGTTTTTCGATCTCGGCGTATTATAAACTGCCTGAAGCAACAGTTGTGGAGTAATCCACGGTTACCTCCCTTATCAAGAAATGGTATCTGCCTTCGTTATAAAAAACGGAGCATGAACGAGAAAGGGAGATTTTAAAATCCACGCGTTAATGACTTTGGACGTCAAAATAAAAAGTTAAAGACTTCATTTTCTCTTCTTAATACATGTAAATTACACCACAACAGCTAGTAACTTTTATAGTTTAAAGCGATTAAAAATTAAATAAATAATTCATTTACTGTTAAATTTATTTATCGAACAGAATGAAAGGTTTTAAAAAAACAATATTTTATTAAAAGTTTAATTTTAATTTTTTTTTTTCGTCACAATTGCAAATAATATCATTTAATTAAACCGTAATTAAAAGATAAGTGGGACACGGTGCGTTGCTTTTATGTTTTTTTTTTCTTTTCCTATGACGCGTATTGTGATGTATCCGATATTTTACATAGTTCAGGTCCCCTAATATCTTTAAAGTGATGTGAAGGGATCATAAAGAATGGTGATTTTAAAAGAAAATGAAAATTACGCGCAAAATATATGTAAACAAACTACAGGGTTCGGTTGCGTATACGAAAAAAGATTATGCCGAATTTGGTGTCGAATAAAGATAAATTAATTTGATTGTTTTTAAATTTTTATAACTTTTACGTACATAGGACGTTGAGGGTAAAAGGCCGAAGGCGCAAAAGCTCTCCGCAGGAGCTAGCCTACAGGCCGTCCCAAGGGAGGCTTTTAGGCTAGTTAAGAATAAATTGTACACAATTTTACTACAGTGTAACCCGGATATAAGAGACCCGGATATAAGAGAGATTTTCTCTGGTCCCAAATAAGAGCCTGTGTTAATGTATATAAAATAGACCAAACTCGGATATAAGAGAAACCCGGATATAAGAGACTTCTCCGGTCCCGTCAACTCTCTTATATCCGGGTTACACTGTATAAGAAAGCACTGAAAATTATTTTACTATAAGAATTCATTGAAAATTATTACCCTGTAAGAATGAATAGGACTTAAATTTACTATAAAAAGTGTCGAGGATATTACTATATTAAATTAGTGGAAATCACTTTAATACGTGAAATTGTATTGGTTGTGAGTTAAATACGAATGGTTATATCACAAGCTGTATAAGGTAACCAAAAAAAGACCTTGCCGTTTTTTTTACGTTCTGTGAGGAGAAGTAATCACTGACACGTGAATGAGCGTGTCACATGCCGGAGAAGCACTTGACCGATGCATCTGCGATGCGTATACATATCAGTGATTGCTCGAGTTATTGCCTTGTCAAAGCAGCTCGTTCGGGGTTGTCTGATTTATGGCCTTAAGGTGGGCTTGCCGTATGAAATCACCGAATACATCAAGGATTTGGGGATAATGCTGTCCGAGTACGCACCATCAGGCATTGGTTCCAGAAGTTCAGGTCGGCAGATCTGTCCCTTTGTAATGAACACCGTCTTGGCCAGCCTCATGTCCTGGATGATGAGGCTTTGAATGCGGCCATAGAGGAGCATAGTAGCCAAACCTGCGGTGAGCTTGCCGAACGCTTCCAGGTTTCAGACGTCACCTGCATCGCTTAGTGGAGGTGTGCAATTTTAGCAAGTAGGTACATCACGCAATGTTCAAAGCCAACAAGCAACAACGAGTGACAGCCTGTTTCTCTTTGAGTTTTACGCTCCGTAACGTACCCATAGTTGAAAATTAGGTTTATATGACACCCCCAATTGTACCAGACGGTGATTGCCCCCACGGAACCATGTTCCCCAACCCTCAAGATCACCTCTCCACCCACGCAAAATCATGCTCTGTATCTGGATGGCTACTCAATAAGTGATGCAATTAGCCAAACCGTCTCTGCGCACCCGTACACGCAGAAGTCTGAACGTTTGCAACGAGCATTGATTAAGCATACGAGTGTATTCTTTCTCCATGACAATGCCAGGCCTCACGTGGTACGGATGACCATGGGTACCACAAGGCTTTCAGTGTGAATGCGCCATTCAGATTACTCACCTAGCCAACAGATTACACGTCTTCCATTCACCGGACAAACACATTCGTGAAAAATTCTTCGCACATGAGGTAGACATTTGGCAGGCACTCACAGACTTCCTTGCGTCCAAGACACCTGATTTTACTGCCAGAATATTGCGCAGATTGAGGCGCGTTGGTAAAAGGTTTTGTTTCCCAATGGGGGATCATTTTCAGGACTAGCAGTATATTTGTATACCATTTTTTTTTAAATCAAAAACAGCAAGCACTTTTTTGGCTATATTAACTAGTGTGCCCGTAAGGTCAAAAAAATGGCGGATATTGTTAATAATTTTTAATATTGAGAGTTGAGTTGAATTTGGGTTTCTGCAAAGAAACAAAAATCTTTGAAACAATATTAGGTCATCCCATAAGTTCTGTCCAAATTTTAACGTTTTGTTAAAATTAACGAAATTTAAAGAGTATTTTATAATGTCTAATAGAGCTGAACATTATTTTTATGTTTAGATGCATTTAAACTGATCAAATTTTATTTCAGAGAACAATAAAATTAAATTTTGTTTCATTAAAACCCTGCTAACATGGAAGAATCATTTGAGGCACATAATGCTTTATGAGTTCAAGAAAGGAAACTCAGCAGCCGAAGCGGCTAGAAATATTCACGATATTGAGTCAAACACGAGGGTGTCATGAAACATTCACTCAGTTTATGGAGAGGAATGTGTGAATGAAAGAACTTGCAGAAGATGGTTTGCAAAATTCAGAGGTGGAGATTTCAGCCTTGAAGATGAAGAACGAATCAGACGTCCAGTTGAGTTTGATGAAAATCTTCTTGAAGCAGCCCTTGAAGAAAATCCTGCTTTATCAGTTGAGGAATTGACAGTGGTTCTCAGTTCAAACCATACAACTGTTCATCGTCATCTTCAACAACTTGGAAAAGTTCCTAGATTTAGAAAATGGGTGCCTCATGAATTGTCTGAAAACAACCTCAAATCCCGAGTTGACATCTGCTCTTCTTTCCATTCTCGCCAACTTGTTTCACCTTTTTTGGATAGACTTGTGACTGGCGACGAAAAATGGATCTTTTATCGAAATGTTAAGCGTCGTAGACAGTGGCTTGGTAAAGGGGAAGGACCCCAGCCAAAGCCGAGAAGGGAACTTCATGGGCAAAAGGTACTTTTCAATCTGGTGGGATCGCCAAGGAATAATCCACTTTGAATTCTTACCACCTAATGCAACAATTAATGCTCAAATATACTGGCAGCAATTAGAGCATTTGAACCAAGCTTTGAAGGAAAACGGACCTGCTCTAGTGAATCGAAAAGAGGTGATGTTTCATCATGACAATGCGTGACCCCACACAGCAAGAATCACGTCACAAAAGATCGAAGAACTTGGTTGGGAGAAAATTCCTCATCCACCTTATTCTCCCCATCTTGCTCCTTCAGACTGCCATTTGTTTTGTAGCTTACAGAATCATTTGGAAGAAACAGCTTTTGTAACACAGGAAGAGGTTAAAACTGACATTTGTGAGTTCTTCGAATCAAAGCCAAAAGAATTTTATAGTAATGGAATTAGTAAGCTTGTTAATAGATGGAAAGAAGTCATAGATAATCAGGGAAAATACATTGTTGATTGAATCTGTAATTAAATGTAATATTTGGTCTGTTGTTTTCTTTATTCAAAATTCGGACAGAACTTATGGGATGACCTGATATATTAAGATTTAATAAACAGGAGATCCAGAACTCCATACTAAAGCATAGGCCAATTTATGGCTCTCCACAACTTTCCGTCTCTTGTAGTCCTTGTTTTTGTTATATTTATTACATGACAATCATAACACCACACAACAAAGATTCTATCACAAACCATGTCTTCTGCAGTATTTTTGCTCAAGACCAACATACCCAAACATGCCAGCCAACATA